CAACATCTGACGCTTGGTAATTTATAACTGGTGCCCCAAACAGCATGGTTGGAATAGAAAAGGCCCAGTACAGTTTTGATGCCATATGCCTACAGCCATCTTTACCTCATGCAAGATATTGCATCTTTCATCCTAAAAAGTCACACCTGCTAGATGAGATTTACTTGTGACATTACTTGTTTAAAAACATCAATAACATAGCAACAAATATACTGAGTTAAATATACACAATGAATGGTTATTTGCTGAATCATCGCCCGTTCTAAAATGTGTGGTTAACAAATACTTATTCTCATAAAAATAATCCATACTCTCAGACGGCAGGGAAAATAACTAGACTGGGGAAATTGAACAAGTTCAATTTCAGACTCCAGATGACATATTCTTTTAAGACTAACTGACTGACTGATCTGACCTGACCTGACCTGACCTGACCTGACTGATGGCTTGACTGATGACGACCTGACTGATAACATGACTGATGACCTGACTAATGATATGACTGATGGCCTGACTTATGACCTGATTGATGATCCGACTTATGACCTGACTGATGACTTGACAGATGACTTAACTGATGACTTGACTAATGACCTACCTAATGACCTGACTGATGACATGACTGATGACCTGACTGGTGACCTGACTAATGACTTGACAGATGACTTAACTGATGACTTGACTAATGACCTGACCTGACTGATGACATGACTGGTGACCTGACTAATGACCTGACGATGACCTGACCAATGACCTGACCTGACCTGACTGACAATGGTATTTTTCCAATATTGTCTTATATGCTCTTACTTTGTAACATAATATCATCATATCAATTTTCCAAAATTTCAAAATGAGGTAGAATCTGAACCGGAAGTCGGATTTCAATCTGATTCCAGATTCAGAATCCTGAGAAAATTTACCATAATTTTGACACCTCAAACAATAAATTTGAAGAATTTTTTTGTTGGCCTACTTTCTGGACACTATATCTCAGAACTAGGTCAAAATACCTTCTGATTGCAAAAAGCTTACACTATAAGCATACTCTTGGCTATCTGTATATCAAATTTCAAAAAGCAATATTAAAGGGGCAACAAGGCCTGTAGGGAGAAAATAGGAAAATCAAAAAAAATTCTGAGCTATCAAGGCAACATTTGGCTTAACATCTTCTTTGACATACCTATTTTCTTAAAATGTATGGATAAACTATCAATTTCAGCCTTAAGAAGTGTAAATTCAGTTCAAAGCTTGAAAAAGGGGAAATCCACTTTTATATTTTTAAGATCCACCATGTTTCAAGAGGAATATCAGCTGAAATAATGTTTATCTAGGGGGTTTCTTTGTAGATAATAAAAATAGATGTTAGTCTTGATGAAATATCCAAACTTAAATATATTTTGGCACTGGTCCATGATCGTTGAATGGCCCCTCTGCACTAATTGTTGCACCTTTAAAGTGTAATGTCAGGATCGTAAAAATAAGAAAAATCATAGATTTGACCCAGATTTTGACCTTGGCATTCAAGTGTCCAAATTTTGAATTAGGTTAGCTTTATTGGTCCTCAGACTATTGTAGTCTATCTCTAATTTTATTTAAATCTAGTCTGTATCTGGTTTTTCTTAATTCATATATTTTCATTTTTCCCATTGACTTAACATGGAAATATCATCATATCGTTTTTTCGAGATTTCAAAACGCCATAACTCCTGAACCGGAAGTCAGATTTCAATCTGGTCTTCAGATTCTAAATCCTGAGCAAATTTGCTATTAAATTGACACCTCACACGATGAATTTTGAGAACTTTTTATTTTGACCTACTTTTCGGACACCATATCTCAAAAGTGGGTCAGAATACTTTCTGACGGCAAAGGGTTAACACTATTAGCATACTTTTTGCTATCTGTATGCCAAATTTCGAAGAATATCATTAAAGTGTAGTGCCAGAATAGCAAAAATAAGGAAAAACTACGGATTTGACCCAGATTTTGACCTAGGCATTTTGGTGTCCACATTTTGAAGAAAAGTAGCTTTTGGGGTCCCCTTCTTTTGTGGGTTTTCATTGTGTTTAGCTGTACCCTGTCTATATCTCGTATTTGTACACTTCAAAAAAGTCTTTGGTCCCATTGAAATAACATGGGGGACCAAATTTAGCGATTTTTGAGATTTCAAAACGCCATAACTTTTGAACCGGAAGTCGGATTTCAATTCGGTTTTCAGATTCGGAATCCTGAGAAAATTTCCTATAAGGCTGATACCCTGGACATTGAATTTTATTTTGGACCTCGTTTTCGGACACTGATATCTGGAAATCGGTTCGATGAATCAAAAATCTAAATCGTATTACGTTTTTCTACTTTTTTATGAGGAACACAATGAAAAAAAACCGGATCAAAAATATTGAAGGACGACCGAGATAATGGGAAAAAGTGACAAAGTACTGGATTTGACCTAGTTCTTGACCTTTGACCTAGATAAAAATTTGACCCATTTCCCACCAACTAGACATAGTACCTTAATTGACCATATAATAGTCTTCATTGAATACTTTATAGTTGTTGAGAAATCGTCCACAGTATAATAAGAAAGAATAATAAGAATAAGAAAGAAAAGAGGCAAAAACAATAGACTCCAGATTTACATCTGGAGTCTAATAACCAAACGAAATGTGAAAAAAACTTTTTCACATGGGTCAATTATGTGGGCCGATTCACTCAGAAAAAAATCGAAGAGTGCTCGTAAAACATTTATCATAATTAGAAAGTTAAAACCATTTCTAAGAGAATGCTTTTATTTCACATGAAATCACATGAGCTTGCGTTGAGTGCCGATTAACGATTAACGAAGTTTTTGAATTTGGTGAGCTAAGTGAATCACAGAAAATATCAATTTTATCTCTTATTTTCAAAAAGAGGAATAGGGAATTTTTAGATAACTATCGACCAATTAGCTAAAGCAATTACGATTATAAGATTTTGACTTTTACTTTAGCAAATAGACGACATAGTGTTTTACCTAAACTCATAAAGATCAATCCTCATACATAAAAGGCAGATATATAGGAAACAATGTCTGACTTCTGTTAGATCTTATCGAATACTCTAATTTTGAAAATATAGATGCTTCGCTTTTATGCTTAGATTATAAAAAGGCTTTTGATAGTATTAATTGGGCATTCATATTCAAGGTACTAGAAACACTGATCTTTGGCAAATTTTTTATAAAATGGATAAAAGTTCTTTATAATGACCCAAAACTTAAAATCAAAAACAATGGACATATTTCCAATGAAGTAAAAGTTTTAAAAAAGGTATACGGCAGGGATGCCCAGCATCTGCTTTAATTTTCATAATATGTAGAATAATGGCAAATAAGCTGAGAAATAATGACAAAATTAAAGGAATTAAAATTGACGAAAAAGTAATTCAACATGCAGATGATACTACCCTCACATTGTCAACTAAAGAATCTATTTGCGAAGCACTTAAAGAAATAAATAATTTTCCTGGAATATATGGACTTAATTTGAATATGGACAAAACTGAGGGAATATGGTTAGGTAACTTAAAAGGTAATGGACATACATAGATTTTAGATCACTATAAGTTCTACAATAAATAAAATGAAAATAAATACATACATATGAAAATATTCATTTTGGAGTAGAACCTGTTAAATATTTGGGAATATATATTGGAAACGACAAAACTTTGTGAAAAGAAAAAATCTGGGATAACAAGATTAACAATTTTGAAAAACTTTTTGAATCACGGAAAAAAAGAAAACTGACCCTCTTTGGTAAAACACATGTTATTAACACTCTTGGAATTTCAAAATTAGATTCTAGATGTTCTAATTCCAGAATTTATCATAAATAAGCTTGGTTTTACATTAAACGATTTTTACAAAACAAATTTTAATGAAAATGTCAAGATTTTAGATCACTATAAGTTCTACAAACATGTTTTTGTGCATACAATAGATGTAAAGAAATGTTTTTGTATAATGCCCACAATTTTGATAGATTATATAATGCTGTGTAAATCTTATTTCACTATTGTATAAATTCTAATCCAGGATATAATGTATATTCTGTTTTGTAAAGTTTTATTGATTCAAATATTGTTTGTGTTTTTTGTACTTTGCGTTTATTTTTTGAAAAAATAATTTTAATAAAAAAATAAAATAAAAAAACACTGAGTGCCGAACTGCGTTAGACAGATGCGGCTATTCTAAACGCCATTTTTCTCTGTAATGGTGCGTTTTCCACTTACCAAAGATCACACGAATGTGTAATTGTGCCAACATAACTTCAATTTGATACAAATGCGATGCTATTTCTGATTCCTTTGTTTAAATCGGTATATTAGGGACAAGATTTGACAAAACTACATTTTTGTGGCATATTTATCTTCAGGCTAAACTATTTGATAGCCGAGCAACAAAAATGCTATTGCAGGTGGAGTATATGTATATTGATCACCGAATGGGACATACCTGCTCTTGTGTAATTTATACAAAGCAATGATTTATACCAAATCTTTACATGCCCTCCAAATATTAAGTTTGGATTTACTGCCATTGTATGCAATAATGCGTTGTAAACCTCGTTTTGAATTACGCGAGTCGCAGTCCGCGGTTGTGCCATCGTTTTGATGAGCCAAAAAACAAGTAAATCTTAATAACTCAGTCATCCGGTATGTGTTTTATGTCATATTTGGTACAATTGAACCTTGTTTAATGTTTTTTTCATTATAGTATGTTTCATTTGTCTATTTAAAACATGGTCAAAATGCCTAAAAAAATTTGGCTCACCTTGTACTCTAAAAGTATTTCCAAACTATGTGCTATGTAGGTTTCCTAGGAAATTGTGGAATAAATTTTAAATAAATCTTGTCCATCCCCAACGAGCTCTAATATTATTTTTTGTAACGTTTTCTAACTCAGTTTAAAAACAGCAAAAGTGTATTTTGTGATAACAGGTCACTTAGACTCCGATTTAATTGCTATGATAGTGAAAGTAAAGCTAAGAAAAATAAATGATACAAATCACAATCACTCTACTAAATCCCAATCATTGTATTACAAAGGCCAAAGTGTCTTGCTTAGATTCATTGTATGGTATTCTCAGGCATCCGAATGGGCGCCATATTTGAAAACAAAATAGCACCAATAGGAAACATTTGCGCAAGTTTTCAACTTATAACACCATTTTATTAAAAATGCAGATAAAGCCACAACAATATTGCAATTGATTTTAAATTCTTTATTTTTTGTTCTGAACCATTCTCTTACATATAATTTACGGAGTGGCTCCAGGACCGACAATTGTCGGTACTAGAGACTGTCCAGGGGTATTTGCTGGGGTACCGACAATTGTCGGCACTCTATCGTCAACTAGCAGTGCCAGATAGAGAACCGACAATTGTCGGTACGCAAGTGGCTGCTACGTGTTTTTGCTAGAGAACCGACAATTTCATAAATAATCCCTTACTTTTACTTTTAGGAATAACCTCATCACTGGTAGCCTAGTGGTTAGCGAGAACGATTTGAACACACTCGGTCACGAGTTCGAATCCCGGCAAGATCTACTTTTTTTCTTTTGAGGGGGGTGGGGCATAGTGCTTCTTTTGCAGTATGGAATCGTACAGGCATTAACTTGTAGTGAGCCATAATTTATTTAGACAAAAATTGATTCAACTTCCATCAAAATTGTCCTACAAGCTTCAATTAAAAAACATTTTAAAGCTCTTTTCTTGTTCTATCTAATGGGTCGATATATACAGTTAGGGGAGGGGATGCTTTCGACCCCGTCGCTCTCTACCCTTACTACGCCATGGCACAGGAGAAATATCTCATTTGGAATATATCACTGTTAACTTTGCGTTTGATAGCTCTCTCATGCGAGATGGAATCGTGGCCATTAACTAAGGGAGCCAAATGCAACTTCCATCAAAAATTGTGCTATAAGGTATGAGTACCGTAATCCAACACCAAATTCGAAAATTCATAACAATACTTTGCACAATACTTTGCACATATGGCGTTCGTGACCAACTATGAAACGCTTACCCCCATAGTGTTATATAACAAAATGCACCTGTCCATAAAGGGGTTCGATTGACCTACATCAAATTATAGGGAGTCAGGTTACTTTTTGAGATATCAGCGTCCGTTTATTGTAATTCGCGTTTGCTACCACTTCCTCAATTCTGATATGACGGGCAAACGCGTAGTAAACATGCTCACGTTCGGAACTATTTTGACCTACATCGCTTTTTTCGTAATTCAAATGAAAGTTGAACTCCTCTTTATTTTGATACCAAATAGTGGCATACTAGCACGCCCGGTGATCGTACAAAATGGATGGAGGGGGGGGGATTAGGTGATTTCTGCAAGAAAACTCAACAAATTTGGAAGATTTATTTTTTCAAGAGAAAATTTACAACTGAATTGCCAAATTAATAGGCGCAGTGCATGGCAAAATATGTTAGGTCATCTAGTATTTTTTTTGAACTGATACCCTTCTAAGATATGAGATCTATTAAAAAAGGCGCATCATCATCAACATGCAAAAGTCAATGTTTTTGCTATAAATCGGGCATCAATGGTCTACACGACCTGTAATAAATAGGTATAAGGGACGTTATTATCACAATACTTATGACATTGCTCACTTTTTAAAGTTAGTTTCCATGCGTTATACAAAAAATAATCGAAATAAATTAATATTGGATGGAGGGGGGGATTGGATGGAGGGGGGGGGATCACATGTATGTAAGACATGATAAGACATGCTACTTGAATTTATTCTTGTGACTCCAAATTTTCGCATTTTTCATTCTCCAGAGATATAATATCCAGTTTCTTAAAAGGGTACTGATTCTAGTTTTTTCAAATACATGAGTTCTTGTAAATTTGTTCCATCGTAAAGACATATTAATCCCCCCTCCATCCAATCCCCCCCTCCATCCAAAATTAATTTATTTCGATTATTTTTTGTATAACGCATGGACGCTAACTTTTAAAAGTGAGCAATGTCATTAGTATTGTGATAATAATATCCCTTATACCTATTTATTACAGGTTGTGTAGACCATTGTTGCCCGATTTATAGCAAAAACATTGACTTTTGCACGTTGGTGATGATGCGCCTTTTTTAATAGATCTCATATCTTTGAAGGGTATCAATTCAAAAAAAATACTAGATGACCTAACATATTTTGCCATGCACTGCGCCTATTCATTTGGCAATTCAGTTGTAAATTTTATCTTGAAAAAATAAATCTTCCAAATTTGTTAAGTTTTCTTGCAGAAATCGCCTAATCCCCCCCTCCATCCATTTTGTACGATCACCGGGCGTGACTAGGTACCCTAGAAGCCAACTATGGGTTATTTAGAACGATACCACGGGTTTTTAAATGGACTATATAGGTGTCATACCTTTTGGCGGATGGATATGGAACCTCTCCCCGGGTTTTGCACTTGTTCCCAAAATATCCGTATGATATCTGAAATATCCCCCCGCGCATTGCGCATGCGCCAGAAAATTCGAAATCAATATTTGTCGGTCCTCTAGCGTGTAAACACAGCATATCTCCCGTACCGACAATTTATTTGTCGGCCCTCTAGCGTCCACCACATCAGAGTCTAGAGTACCGACAATTGTCGGTACTCTAGCCTTTACGAATAATTTAATTGTATTTTCTATTTTTCGGGAACGGTGTTGCTCGGTTTTATCTTCATATCCATTGCTTTGAACGAGTACTTGCTGTTATATTTCGTACCGTCCAACGATTCTGGCCAACCGCTTCCCCACGTCATGCAAAAATATGGCTCAGGGCATGTGGAATTATGAATATATGGTCCAAATTGATTAGATGCTAAACATCGCCCAAACCATCCCGGACCTTTGTAGTCAATAGCACAGTTGCAATCACCACAACTATCATTGTCTCGGTCCTTAGTTGTGAAGGCCAGGTCAAGTCCATTTGCATTATTCATCGTACCTTTAGTTGCAGGCCATTTGTATTTGAGACGGTAGCCAGTAGCTTCGTCGCTGATGGATACATTTTCATAGTCGATATACCGAGTTTCCGGTTCCCAGCTCGTAAATGAAGTCCTCATCTCGTATTTCCCTTGGGTCAGCACTGATCTTATATTTTCAAACCCAAGGAAGTGTTCCCCATTTAGTGAGCCAAAACCATCTTTAAAATCTTGCCAGTTTTTGTTAAAGTCCACTGAACCATCTTCTCTGTTAGCAACAATGAGCCATCCATCCTCACACTTGGCTTGGAATTTGCGTCCACTTTCTGTTATAATATCAGCTACTCCATCGGATAATTCACTACAGTCTCTTGCCAGCACGTCAGATGGCGGTTTAGTTCCAGCTAAAAGTTAAAGTATTATTTATGTCATTGCTTTTGTCAGTTTAATGGTATTAAACAATGAAGGTCCAATGAAAGTTAAAATGGTCAGTTACAAAAATCGCTTGTAAAATAAATATGCATGCCACACTATTTATTAGCAAAAAGTTTACTAGTGAAAATCTACACACCTGTGCCACAAGTCTCTCTTTCCATGATGAAGTCTTTAATTACTGCCAAGTCTACAATATGAAATGTTTTATTGAACCAATAATAATAGAAATTCTGTTTCATGCTGAACCAAATTCATTTTTACGCTGGACTGTTCACTAACCCCCCTATCACACCAAACTAGTTCTTACCAGTCCTACGAATACGTCGTAAAACGGGCTCAATCTGGCTGTGGTCGGGAAATATGTCTAAAATAATTAGCTAATTCGTTCATAAGCAGTCTTCAATACGTCCATCTCATTCGCAGTTCGTTCAGGTCGCACCACGTCGGTGTGCAACGTCGTATAACGCGTCCCTTAGACTAGAAGGTCACCATGACCTGATTACAGAACGGCATGGTCGCCATCGAATTTTGAATCGATTCAAAATTCTAAAATCACCTTCCCGTCTGAGAACGTTCGTGAAGTTCGTAAATAGACCTTAGAAAGTTGCAGCCACGTTCATTCCGTTCGCACACAGTTAAAAACCAGTTTTGAAAGACGCAGTGGCAACTTGTTTGGTGTGATAGCTATATTTTTGCTAACTCGTTCATAAACGGTCTTGAATACGTTCTTAATCAGTTTAAACCCGTTTACAATTAGTTCTACCTCGTTCTCAATACGTCCTCAGACAGATCAACTCGTTGTTAAAACGTCCCTAGTAGGATTGAAGTAAGACGGTTCCGTTCGTAGTACGTCCAGCTCGTCGTTAGTACGTTGTCACTCGTTCTAATTGTAGAACGTATCGACCACGAGAACATTTTGAGCATGTTCTAAAGGACCTACCCGTTCAAGTACGTTCGGTGAAGTTTGTAAATAGACCCCAAACGGTTCTAAGTACGTCCAGTCCATTCGTACACAGTTGAAGCCCGTTTTCGAGAACGTAGTGAAAACTAGTTTGGTGTGATAGTAGGGTAAAGGCCACTTTTGTTCCGCCTTGATATTTTTACATCTTATACCTACAGCCGATCCGATTCGAGAATGTTCAATTTTATAATAGAATTAACATTCAGCTGGGCACTAAAAATTAATTTACAGTTGGTTTTTGGAGTTGAAACCCACAGACTTAGGCTCACTGATCATTTTAAAAACATTTTCTTTTTAGTACCTGCTTTTATCCCAGCAACGTCTTCGGAAAGGGAGCTAATTGAGTCTTGCATTGTTGGCATCTGTTCCAGCATCTCCTTGCAGTTGCTAAATCTTCTCTTGCCATCGCTCCCAGTGAGTAGAACTGCAGCACAGACGATCGTCCAAAACATTGACATGGTGATTGCCCTGCTTTTGTACTTGTACTTTTGTATTTCAAAGTATGATTAGCTCAAAATGGCATATACTGGACTATTAGTAAGCATAGTATATTTATATTCATTTTCTACGTGGGAGCGCTGACCATATCCTGTGGACAGTGAAGAAAAGATAAATGAAGGTAATGAATTCAAACAAACAAATAAAATAATACAATAAAATAAATTATTTGTTCAGCAGTTGCAGCTGACGGATATTCAGTGTCCATTCGAATCAATTTTAATGCTTAATTTCAAAGAATCAAACTATCAATTTCAATATTGTTTTCAAGAATCAAACTTTTGGCAAATGGTGTTCGTTGGTTGTAGCTGACGGATATGCAGTGTCCGTTCGATTCAATTTTAATGTTATTTCCAAGAATCAAACTATCAATTCTAATATTATTTTTAAGAATCAGACTATCAATTTTAATGTTATTTCCAAGAATGACACCAAAACTATCAATTCTAATATTATTTCTAAGAATCAGACTATCAGTTTTAATGTTATTTCCAAGAATGACACTCAGTCAGAATGATCACTGTAGTGATTAAAAGCAACATGTGCCAGAATTATTGGTGTCAATTTTACAGCTTTTATTAAAGCTGGCCTGTCGAGCACAATTTGGTTTCATAATCTGAAGGTTTTCGACGGCATTGTATCTTGATAATTTTAGATAAGCTTGGCTACAAACCTCTGTGACCCCTCTACTTGACTTAACACCTCACATACCTTGTTGCAGTGGCGAGGGGGATGGGGTCACAAGGTGTTGTGGCTAGACTAATTTTTAATGAATCTTGAAAAAGAGAATAAGAATGGAATCTTAAAATAATGAATCGATGTTAATTTCTCACATACGTCAAGCTTTATCAATCAGTTATCTTGGCCAGAATTAATGATGGTAGGATGTATGTCGAGATGAGTGAAGACATAGGACGTGTTTCAGGATGGGTGAAGGTGTAAGACGTGTGTCAGGATGAGTGAAGGCATAGGATGTGTGTCAGGATGAGGGAAGGTATAGGATGTGTGTCAGGATGAGTGAAGGCATAGGATGTGTGTCAGGATGAGTGAAGGCAAAGGAAGTGTGTCAGGATGAGTGAAGGCATAGGACGTGTGTCAGGATAAATGAAGGCATATGATGTGTGTCAGGATGAGTGAAGGCATAGGAAGTGTGTCAGGATGAGGGAAGGTATAGGATGTGTGTCAGGATAAATGAAGGCATAGGATGTGTGTCAGGATGAGTGAAGGCATAGGAAGTGTGTCAGGATGAGGGAAGGTATAGGAAGTGTGTCAGGATGAGTGAAGGCACAGGACGTGTGTCATGATGAGTGAAGGCATAGGATGTGTGTCAAGATAAATGAAGGCATAGGACGTGTGTCAGGATGAGTGAAGGCATAGGAAGTGTGTCAGGATGAGTGAAGGCATAGGATGTGTGTCAGGATGAGTGAAGGCATATGACGTGTGTCAGGATGTGTAAAGGCATACGACGTGTTTCAAGATGTGTGAAGGTGTAAGATATGCATCGAGATGAGTGAAGGCATAGGACACGTGTTAGAATAAGTAAAGGCATATGATGTGTGTCAGGATAAATGAAGGCATGGGACGTGTGTCGAGATGAGTGAAGGCATAGGATGTTTATCAGGACGAGTGAAGGCATAGGACGTGTGTAAGGATGAATGAAGGCATAGGACGTGTGTCAGGATGAGTGAAGGCATATGATGTTTGTCAGGATGAGTGAAGGCATAGGATGTGTGTCATGATGAGTGAAGGCACAGGACGTGTGTCAGGATGAGTGAAGCCATGGGATGTTTATCAGGACAAGTGAAGGCATAGGACGTGTGTCAGGATGAGTGAAGGCACGGGACGTGTGTCAGGATGAGTGAAGGCATAGGATATGTGTCAGGATGAGTGAAGACATAGGATGTGTGTCAGGATAAATGAAAGCATAGGATGTGTGTCAGGATGAATTAAGGCATAGGATGTGTGTCAGAATGAGTGAAGGCATAGAACGTGTGTCAGAATGAGTGAAGGCACAGGACGTGTGTCATGATGAGTGAAGGCATAGGACGTGTGTCAAGATGAGTGAAGGCATGGGATGTGTGTCAAGATAAGTGAAAGCATAGGATGTGTGTCAGGATGAATTAAGGCATAGGATGTGGGTCAGGATGAGTGAAGGCATAGGACGTGTGTCAAGATGAGTGAAGGCGTAGAACGTGTGTCAGGATGAGTGAAGACATAGGACATGTGTCATGATGAGTGAAGGCATAGGAAGTGTGGCAGGATGAGTTAAGGCATAGGACGTGTGTCAAGATAAGTGAATGCGTAGAACGTGTGTCAAGATAAGTGAAAGCATAAGATGTGTGTCAGGATGAATTAAGGCATAGGATGTGGGTCAGGATGAGTGAAGGCACAGGACGTGTGTCATGATGAGTGAAGGCACAGGACGTGTGTCATGATGAGTGAAGGCATAGGATGTGTGTCATGATGAGTGAAGGCATAGGAAGTGTGTCAGGATGAGTTAAGGCATAGGAAGTGTGTCATGATGAGTGAATGCACAGGATGTGTGTCAAGATAAGTGAAGGCACAGGACGTGTGTCATGATGAGTGAAGGCATAGGATGTGTGTCATGATGAGTGAAGGCACAGGACGTGTGTCATGATGAGTGAAGGCACAGGACGTTTGTCATGATGAGTGAAGGCATAGGATGTGTGTCATGATGAGTGAAGGCATAGGACGTGTGTCAGGATGAGTGAAGGCATAGGATGTGTGTCATGATGAGTGAAGGCATAGGAAGTGTGTCATGATGAGTGAAGCCATGGGACGTGTGTCAGGATGAGTGAAGGCATAGGATGTGTGTCATGATGAGTGAAGGCATAGGACGTGTGTCAGGATGAGTGAAGGCATAGGATGTGTGTCAGGATGAGTGAAGGCATAGGATGTGTGTCAAGATAAGTGAATGCGTAGAACGTGTGTCCGGATGAGTGAAGGCACAGGACGTGTGTCATGATGAGTGAAGGCATAGGATGTGTGTCAGGATAAATGAAGGCATAGGACGTGTGTCAGGATGAGTGAAGGCACAGGACGTGTGTCATGATGAGTGAAGGCATAGGATGTGTGTCAGGATAAATGAAGGCATATGACGTGTGTCAGGATGAGTGAAGGCACAGGACTTGTGTCATGATGAGTGAATGCACAGGATGTGTGTCAAGATAAGTGAATGCGTAGAACGTGTGTCATGATGAGTGAAGGCATAGGAAGTGTGTCAGGATGAGTTAAGGCATAGGACGTGTGTCCGGATGAGTGAAGGCACAGGACGTCTGTCCGGATGAGTGAAGGCATAGGATGTGTGTCAGGATAAATGAAGGCATAGGACGTGTGTCAGGATGAGTGAAGCCACAGGACGTGTGTCATGATGAGTGAAGGCATAGGATGTGTGTCAGGATAAATGAAGGCATAGGACGTGTGTCATGATGAGTGAAGGCATAGGAAGTGTGTCAGGATGAGTTAAGGCATAGGACGTGTGTCCGGATGAGTGAAGGCACAGGACGTGTGTCATGATGAGTGAAGGCATAGGATGTGTGTCAGGATAAATGAAGGCATAGGACGTGTGTCGGGATGAGTGAAGGCACATGACGTGTGTCAGGATGAGTGAAGGCACAGGACGTGTGTCATGATGAGTGAAGGCATAGGATGTGTGTCAGGATAAATGAAGGCATAGGACGTGTGTCATGATGAGTGAAGGCATAGGAAGTGTGTCAGGATGAGTTAAGGCATAGGACGTGTGTCCGGATGAGTGAAGGCACAGGACGTGTGTCATGATGAGTGAAGGCATAGGATGTGTGTCAGGATAAATGAAGGCATAGGACGTGTGTCAGGATGAGTGAAGGCACAGGACGTGTGTCATGATGAGTGAAGGCATAGAATGTGTGTCAAGATAAGTGAATGCGTAGAACGTGTGTCATGATGAGTGAAGGCATAGGGAGTGTGTCAGGATGAGTTAAGGCATAGGACGTGTGTCCGGATGAGTGAAGGCACAGGACGTGTGTCCGGATGAGTGAAGGCATAGGATGTGTGTCAGGATAAATGAAGGCATAGGACGTGTGTCAGGATGAGTGAAGGCACAGGACGTGTGTCATGATGAGTGAAGGCATAGGATGTTTGTCAAGATAAGTGAATGAGTAGAACATGTGTCAGGATGAGTGAAGACATGGGTCATGTTTCATGATGAATGAAGGCATAGGAAGTGTGTCAGGATGAGTTAAGGCATAGGACGTGTGCCCGGATGAGTGAAGGCACAGGACGTGTGTCATGATGAGTGAAGGCATAGGATGTGTGTCAGGATAAATGAAGGCATAGGACGTGTGTCAGGATGAGTGAAGGCACAGGACGTGTGTCATGATGAGTGAAGGCATAGGATGTGTGTCAAGATAAATGAAGGCATAGGACGTGTGTCAGGATGAGTGGAGGCATAGGACGTGTGTCAGGACAAGTGAAGGCATAGGACGTGTGTCAGGATGAGTGAAGGCATAGGATGTGTGTCAGGATGAGTGAAGGCATAGGATGTGTGTCATGATGAGTGAAGGCATAGGATGTGTGTCATGATGAGTGAAGGCAAAGGACGTGTGTCAGGATGAATGAAGGCATAGGACGCGAGTCAGGATAAATGATGACTTAGGACGTGTGTCAGGATGAGTGAAGACATAGGACGTGTGCCAGGATGAATGAAGGCATAGGATGTGTGTCGGGATAAGTGAAGGCATAGGATGTGTGACAGGATGAGTGAAGGCATAGAATGTGTGTCGGGATAAATGAAGGCATAGGATGTGTGTCAGGATGAGTGAAGCCATGGGATGTTTATCAGGACGAGTGAAGGCATAGGGCGTGTGTAAGGATGAATGAAGGCATAGGACGTGTGTCAGGATGAGTGAAGGCATAGGATGTGTGTCAGGATGAGTGAAGCCATGGGACGTGTGTCAGGATGAGTGAAGCCATGGGAAGTATGTCAGGATGAGTGAAGGCATATGACGCGTTTCAGAATGAGTGAAGTCATAGGATGTGTGTCAGGATAAGGGAAGGCGTAGGATGTGTGTCAGAATGAGTGAAGGCATAGGACGTGTGTCTGGATGAAATAAGGCGAGACATGTGTCAGGATGAGTGAAGGCATAGGATGTGTGTCTGGATAAGGGAAGGCGTAGGATGTGTGTCAGAATGAGTGAAGGCATAGGACGTGTGTCTGGATGAAATAAGGCGAGACTTGTGTCAGGATGAGTGAAGGCATAGGATGTATCAGGACGAGTGAATCCATAGAATAGGATGATGTTATACTAGCAAGTAAGTTCAATCTTTAATATACATGTACATGAAAACTCATATAGACATATTTTGTTTCCTTAGTGTATAAATGTTACTCTGATTGTTGGTTAGTGTTGCAAGGTTGATTAGGTTGTGTTTATATGTTGAATGTGAGACCCATTTGTTTAATGGGATAAAAGTGACATAAGCAAAATAATAGTAATACTCCCATTTGAAACAACAGAACAATTATGCATGCTTTTTATGATACCAATGAACCGCTGAGTAAACAATTTTTTACTGTCATCATTCAACAAACCAAGCAATGGGATGTATATCGTGCTGTTACACCGCCCAAAAACATAATAGTTCTTAATCAAACCTTCATGCGCATATAGGCCTATATTAACATGTGTGTGCATGAATTATCAGATGAATTTTGGGAACAGTAGTTCATGGTCTATTAAAATTATACGTTTACATTTTATTAATGTCAGCATCTCAATAAACATATTCCACGGATCTGAAGCCACTAATAAGAATTACAATATCTATTAACAGTTAACTTGAGGTAAACAGATTGGAAATCACCTAAAATGCATGCAGTTTTCATTAAAGTGGTGCTCGTAGCAATATTGAGCAATTTTGTGATGTCATTAACATACTATGAACTGAACAAATTGTTACAAGATGGCCTGATTACACAGGAACAGTTTGATGTTGCATTGGACGCCTTGAGTCTGATAAAACCTAATCTTCAAGGAGGACGATATGACTTCCCGTTGCCAGAGGAGATGGAATTCAGATGTCTATGCACAAACTGTGGTATGTCACACTATTGATATGTTAAAATTCTAATTAGATTTTGCACTAATTACATATTTGAAAAGTTCTCTTACCATGTATTTAATGACTATACTAGCTACCTAATATTATGCAATGGTTTTATTTTCTTGCTACAAATTGAAAATGGCAGCCATTGTTATATTTATTCTGATTTATTTATATGCAGGGGAGAATCTGAAAACTAACAAGGGAGTGGCATATTTAAGGTCTGAAAAAATAATTCAAACAGAAAATATTGGGCCCTTAAAACTACCCTTTGCTTCGATCGACTTCACTTCTTAAAAGAGAGCTTCGTCTTCACTCTTTCAGTTTACAATAACTTTAGGTTTATAACTAGACTCTGCGCGCAGGGTAGCTTAAAACCAAACTTTTGGCCCAAAGGAGTGGTATCGATATGGAGAACTTTTTGAACACACGTTTCTCTTAAACCAGTCATAAAAAATCTAAAAATTTAACACATCGTCAATTTAATGGTCATCTTTTGAATGGTAACCATATAATTTGAAAAATATGTATATGCTTTCATCTATATTGTTTTAGAAAACACATCAAACACTTGTTTTGTTCTTGGTATCCTGTTTCCTAATTTTTTGAATATTTTTTTAAAATCAACCAAAAATTCCTTTGTATAACTATATTTAGAGGTCTAAAAACATGTTGTATATGCTATTTTGTTGCAACAAGGTTAGGAAAGACATTTTATTTCATTCTCAAGAATTGGTAGAAAGGAGCAAAAGCAATTGCACTAAAAGACAAAAACTGTTAACAAAAACAGTTAAATATAAAATATTTCTAAAAAAAATTCGCATTAAAGTGTTGTCAATCAGTCAACATTACATAAAATACCGTGTTTTTTACAGAATGTTTTCTATGGTTGGTTTAAGAGAAGAACATTGTTGAATTCAGTTCTCCATATCGATATCGCAAATGAGAGTTACATACAGTATTTAGTGAATGGAGGTCTATTCGATATCAAATTGATTTTATCTTTAAATTCCAGGTGATATTAAGCAGAAGGCTCAAGAGGCTGCAATTGCAAAGAAACTGAGGAAAATGGCAAAGAAAAAGGAAAAGGGAAAAATGTCTACTTAAAAATGCATCTTATTTCACAAAGAACCTTTATTGACTTGATACTCAAGTTCGAAAGAACTATGGCAATGGGCAGCTTAACAATTCCTCATATTCTCATGTATTGGTCCTGTCCAATAAATATAAAATATAACATTACTCACTGTTATGCAATATTTATAATAATTTTGTTCGGAAATAAGATATCTCTATTCAACGTATAAAAGACCAGATCTAGAAACCTAGCGTCTAGTTCATACTATCACACCAAACTAGTTCTCACTACGTTCTCGAAACGGACACCAAACCAGTTCTACAATTAGAACGAGTGACAACGTACTAACGACGAGCTGGACGTACTACGAACGGAACCGTCGCACTTCAATCCTGCTAGGGTAGTTTTTACAACGCGTTGAACTGTCTGAGGACGTATTGAGAACGAGGTAGAACTAATTGCAAACGGGTTTAAACTGATGAATAACGTATTATGAACGAGTTAGCAAAAATATAGCTATCACACCAAACAAGTTGCCACTGCGTTCTTCAAAACTGGTTTTAAACTGTGTGCGAACGGAATGAACGTAGCTGCAACTTTCTAAGGTCTATTTACGAATTTACGAACTTCATCAACGTTCTCAGACGGGAAGGTGATTTTAGAATTTTGAAATGATTCAAAATTCGATGGCGACCATACCGTTCTGTAATCAGATCGTGTGACAACGTACTTCAAACAAGACGACCTCTAAACCAGGAACGTAATTGCTGTACTTTAACCCTACGTTGTGCAATCGAAAAGAACGGTTGAAACTAGTTTGGTGTGATAGGAGGGGGGTTATATGCAAGCCTTTAACTGTGACTGTGAGGCCAAGTTGTAATTATACAAGGAACGACTGCATTAAATTACCTCAATACATTGAATCATGTGCTTGATTCACACATTGCAAACGATTATGAACACGTTCATGAACAAGAATTGAAAATGAACCAGAAAATATTTTGCAAGGTCTGACATTTCGATCTACACGACCACGTACAAATGAATCGTCATTAAGATACATTTTTATAGTTTTTTGTATTAATGTTAATGTTTTCCCTTATAACATTTTCTTTAATAACCATGCACTTGGTTGTTGTTAAATAAAGAATAATTATATTGCATTTTGATTGGCCAGAGAGTGTTATGATTGCGTTTTATTTTTTATGTGGTTTGTGTACTAGACCGGTGGGAGAAAACGAGACACTAATTTTAGTGATTTACAAAATGAGCTATAGGCCTACTCTAGTGTTTTTATATTCTTATTCCAAGATACTTTTAAAAACAGCATCTTTGGTTTAGTCTATGAACACTGTTTCGTGTAAAGTGATTGGAATATAATAAATGACTAGTCAAAAATATAAAGGATTGGTATCGATATGGTGAACTGAAATCAACACTGTTTTTCTCTTAAACCAATTATTGAAAACATTCTGTAAAAAACACCATCCTTTATTGCAAAAATTATATATATATTATATTTTTAACTGTTTTTGTTAACATTTTTTTGTTTTTTAGTGCAATTGTTTTTTTTCATTTCTACCAACTCTTGAGAATGAAATAAAATGTCTTTCCGAACCTTGTTGGAACAAAATAGCATAAACAACGTTTTCTTAGACCTCTCTATATTATAGTTATACAAAGGAAAGTTTGGTTGATTTTACAAATAGCCTAGTATGCAAAAACTTAAAACAAAACCCCACAAAATAGATAAAAATTAAGACAAACCTTTTATTTCATTAACAAGATACTTTTTGAAAATGAACCAAAATTTCGTTTGTACAATTGCAATATTGAGAGACCTAAATACGTTGTGTTTATGTCGTTTTGTTCTAATGAGGTTCGGATAGATCTTTCATTTCATTCCGAACATATGATACCAAGAACAAAAGAAGTGTCTGGTGTGTTTTCTAAAACAACATAGAGGAAAGTGTATATACATATTTCAAATTATAATGTTACCATCCAAAAATGAACATTAAATTGACGATGTGTAAAATTTTCAGAATGTTTTGATGAACGTTTTTGAAGAGAAATGTATGTTCATAAAGTTCACCATAGGCTATCGATACCACTCCTTTCAAAATTCCCTGGTCAAAATCATAAAGCGTCCAAATCCTCTATAATTGACTATACACTAGCTTTATGCTGATGATCTTGTGTTGAGAATCTCAGTGAGAGCAAGGACGTCAACGGTTAGAGAAATATAACAAAAATCAGATCATTTAGGCAGGAATACATTCTGATTTATCAGAGTCCCTCTTTACCTAACGCTTTTGAGAACTATTCCAAAAGGATAGTAAAGGCTGTGGATCCCACAATGGCAGGAATAGTTTTCTTTATACACCTTTCAATAAGTCTGAAGTTGTCTCTATATTTATAAAAAGATGGCAGATATGTCAGAATCAAAATTGGCTCTATTATGGTGCATGCTTACTATAGCCAATCGGGGAATCCTAAAAAGTGACGTCACTGGGACGGTCCACAGGAAGTTGAAAACAGTGAACAACGTTCAAAATTTCGTCTCATTTTATTCATAATTTTAGTGATTATGAGTAGATTTTAGGCATGAATTATATAAAATCGTGTTATGGGACGTAATACATATTAGAAGAATACACACCTGATATTTGATTTACAAGTATAAAGTAGCATTTTTCGGTTTAAAATGAAGATAACTTGAAAAGAAAAAAGTAGGTCAAGCATTTGTGTGAATCAAAACATGAAAATAAAAATCTTTTGAATAAGTCTATTGTTCTCTGTTCCTAATGTAAGAATCATTGGATTTACAACATATTACGTGATGGAGATACTACTGGATACAATTACACACTAGGATCGCCATTATGAAAGTTACAGTTTGTTTCGGAAATGTGAGGGTCGTGGTACCTTGTGGTAATGGTGACATTCTTGTGAAAGACTTAATTCACAAGGCTGTACTTCGATATCGCAAAGCAACAGGCAAGGTAAGGAAGACTTTTGCTATTTTGAGTATACAAGCAAAAGCGTATTGCGTATAACAATCTCATTCTGAAAAATGTTTAGAACTTTAGGTTTCATAAATATGATGAATGTACATGTATGTGCCATATATTTGACCGTCACTTGCTCTTTGACCCATCATTTGCTTTTTTAGCAAAAACAAATTTAAACTAGAGTCCATTTCACTGCTTCATTTCGTCAGTATAACGGCAAAAATAAGAAATTGGGAGACCATTGTACAATAATATATGGAAAAGTATATTCATAATGTACATGAATGACATTTGTATATTTCAGATTTTTTAGTTTTATGTGCAATAAGCCTGTGCCGTCTTGTAATTTGAAGAATTTCAGCCATGTTAATCTTATTGAAAATAACATGGCAGAGAAGCATCCCAATATAAGAGGCCACACACTTTATAAGCCAAACTAGAAGCAATCCAAGATAAACAAATGTCATTCATGTACATTATGAATATACTTTTCCATATATTATTGCACAATGGTCTCCCAATTTCTTATTTTTGCCGTTCTACTGACGAAATGAAGCAGTGAAATGGACTCTAACATAGTGACATTACTCACACAATATAACAATGTTCATTAAACATTTTTGTTGAAGGTTATATCTTATCTCAATATATTTTACTCAGCTATGAAGTAGACCTATTGCAAGGATTTTTAATTAATGCATATATTAGCTGGGTGTTAATCAGCTTGAAGGAAACAATTACTTACAATATAGTAATTGTTTTGATAAGATGTTGAGGTTGACTCAGAACTTTTAGAACTATTTGGCTGTATGCCAAATTCATAATTCTATGGCAGTTTTGTTTTAAACTACAGTGTCATGATGCATTTTCAAGCAGGTTGCCATCTAAATTGTACAAAAATTTAGCTTGGGGGAAGGGATAACCTAGTGGTATGGATATGTGCCTCTTTAAAACTTTCCAAATTGTGAAATGACTTGATCATCTTGTCACATGTTGTGTCTTTACACCTCTTATAAAATCTTTTCTCAGTATTTAGTTACTGGTCAGAAATTCCTACTTTATTTTATATATTCCACCAGGCTACACAGTTGATCAAATTTTTAGAAACCGTGAGAATGGCATATTAGTTACATAATAGAAGACAGTGAGTTGTCAGAATGTAACTGTTGCATTTAGCCCCCAATATCACTCTCCATTCTCAGGGATGGGAATATAAACCAAAAATGACATAATACAAGACTACCATCCTGATTCCTGACAGATTCTAAATCTCTCATTTTGTGGTATTTCTATACTTAAAAGTACCAACTTCATCCATTTATTCCTTGCTGATTCCACTCTTTAACATCAATGCATTCTTCTCATGTATTGCCATCTCAAAGCTGCCCCCAGACATAAAACAATGGATGAGGTGTAATTACAGGTGAGGCTATTAACAATTATGAGGTACACTGATGAATGGGAAACTCTCAGACTCTTTCATTTAATTGCCAACAATTAAAACTCACCTGTGATTAAAGTAAAGTTCTCATTTGTTTATAAATTTCATTCTATGGCTTGAAGTGAATTATTTAGTGATCAAGGGGACATTCATACTTATTAAATGTTGGTCAATATTTTGGGAAATCACATTGGACAATGCCAGTGGATGCACATTTCTGGTTTTCTCATCTTTGTTCATCGTTGTAAAAGTCTGAATTGTAAACCAGTTACAGTATAAGGGATACCCATAACATTTTAGTATACCACAATCATTTAAACTATCTATATTTTGAGCTATGGCTCAGTGGCAGAGTCAAGGTTACCAATATCGCTTGGCCCCGGGTTCGATTCCCGGTTCAGGCAAGTTTGTTTGTGCGTTATGTAATTCTGGGTGTTTGACTGAGTGGTTCACGACTCGTATAAAAGGCTGTGGTGTGTACCTGTATGTCTGTGTACCTGTGCACACAAAAGAACACAGGGCTCCTCCAAGGAGGGGTTTCTGGCTCTGTCTTCGAGTGTAAAATACGTAAAATACGGAATATACCAATGAGGTATTGCTCGCCAAATATGGCGGTAACCAAGAAATGGTTCAACTGGATGTAATGTGATTGCGTTATTTCCACACATGCATATCTTTTTAGCTGACATTGTGAGCAGATGGAATCATGGTCATTCATAACATTGGTCGTGGGTCATATATTTATCTTATTTTGGAGAAATCTGCTTTTGTTTTTGATTGAAGTAATTATTGGATTGACAGAATAGATATGGAGAGGGGAAAAATGAGAGGAAGACAAGAAGGCCAAAATACATGTATTGCTTAAAAATAGGGTATCTTCAAATCCTATATACCGCCAATATAATTCAAAAGAATTCAGCGCCAAAATGGTCCAGACATCGTATTATTTATTTACATTAAAAAGTTTTCTAATTGTGATATTTTTTCTTATGGCAATACATTAGACTGTCGAATTGATTGTACTATTTCAGTATTTTATACTTGTCCCAATGTAAAAATAATTCTAATCTAATCTAAACATTTATGTCAGCAACTGGTTTAAACCTTTGGATGTGTTTTACCTTGTGGTAAGAAAATATGTTTTATATTTAGAAACTTTGAATGTTGGTTTTGTTTATTGAAGGATATTTAGTGTCACCCTTTAGGGCTATACGTTTTATCTGAACTCATTGAGTTTCAATAAGTAAACAGGAGTCAATGTAATACAGATTGGTTAAGTTCTCTGTTTGGTGTTTTGCAATATAGTGTTTTATTTGGCTTTTATATTGTATACTATATGTAGAATTACATATAAAAGTTCTTGATCTCAAACAATTGTGTTCAATTGTGACTTCGTTTACAGGGTGATCAATAAATAAGGTAAAAGTATCTGGCATTTTGTAGATATTGGTCCAAACATCTTGAAAATTGGTCAGAATATACCTTGTACATTTCTGAATTAAAACATATAAATATATAACTTCTGCCATCTGATTGGTTAATATTATAGTTACTATGGTAACTGGAGTCGGGGGTACCTGGGGCAATTTCATTGCGTCCAATTTGAATAAAGAATGATAAAAAGCACATCTTTTTCAAACTGAAAAGAAATAAACGTTGGTGCCAGCATTTATTGTTTTAATACTTTGTTTCCATTGTTACATATTTTCTTGCAAATTTGATGTTTGATGTCACGGAAAAGATAAATATATAATGAAAACTGATGTGGTCATATAGAGTCTATGACACAGGTCCATGATGAAAACAATACTCACAGAAGAGATTTGATGAGAACAAAGAGAAAGAAGCTAAGGGGCCTGCAAAATGTTTCACATTGCACTGGGGATAATGCTCTGTCTCACAATGCTATTCTCACGGTACAAACCATTGAAGCACTGGGTTTCCCACTGTTAAGTCATGTACTATACTCTCCTGACTTATCCCCTTATGATTATACCATCATGCCGGTGAGCTGGAGAGTTGAGAGAGTTTCTCATGGGATAACTTGAAGTCAGCCGTCTTTTGCAGTCTATGGGAAAATGGGTTTAAAAAGTGTTCAAAGACTGGAGTAGTAGACATGAACTATATATAATGTTAAAAACAGAGGACATTAAGTAGCAGTTATGGAGTATGAAATAAGAATATGATATGCCATTTTAATTGTGATTTTAAATAAGTGTTTCGACTCAAAATTTAGTTTTTTGATAGTTGCCCCGGGTCTTCATGCTTTCTGTTGCTATGGCAACCATAACTTCATATATCAACTTATTATATCAATTCAATAATGTTTGAACATTATTCTGTGCAAATTTTATGAGGATTGGGTAAAATCTGAAGAAATGCCAGATACTTTTACCTTATTTATTGATCTGATCTGATTTATTGACCCTGTATACTCAATCCAATCCAATCCAAACCTAAGATCCTGACCAGGGTCCCTTTACTCTATCTCATGGTTACTATCTATAAAGTATTATACCTACATTAACTAAAATTAAATCAAATTCATTTAATAAATGTTTTCTTTATATTGCAGCCAAATGACTACTGGATAAATGTAGCCAACCTTAAAAGCATCAGTGATAGCGGAATCCTTGACCCGGATGATCAGCTAAGTGATGTAGCTGATGACAGAGAGCAGGTAGGCCAATTTACAGAATATGTGTGAAACATACAATACGTAGGGAAAATAGCTGGTAATGGAACATGTTCATGTAAAACATCTGATGTGTCAAGCATTCAACAAAAATACCTGTGAAACATATAATACATGTAATTAAGGAATAAATAATGATAGGCCATTCAATATGGTGAAATTCAGCACGAGTTGGACAGAATGTTGTACAAAGCACGAACCGAAGGTGAGTGCATTTGTACTAACATTCTGTCCAACGAGTGCTGAATTTCACCATATTGAATGGCCTATCATTATTTATTCCGATTCAAACATAAAAATTAGTAAAAGCCGTGTCTGTGGAACGGGCATGAAGGAAGAATACGCATGCTGTCAAGATTCTGAAGTCGGCCGGAAAAATTTTAGAATTTGTTTGAGATGTGACGTCAGCTATCCCCGGACAGAGCCCCAGATGTGCAGCTGAGATGTGACGTCACTCAAAACAATGCAAATTGCAGATTGAATAGAGTATGGTCGTGCATCTATGGAGAATTAGAGAACGTTCTATATTGGCTATGCTGCATTCTGATTGGTTGAGAAATTCGAATAGAGCACGGTCATGTTTGAATATTTATTCAAAACTTACAATTGATTGCATGCAGTTTGTCAAACATCAAACAAAAACACATTTGAACCTAGCAATATGATACAGATATCAGATACAGAAGATACAATGCTAAATGCAATAAATACATTCCAAACATACAATATAACATGCATATAAAAACATATAGTATAAAACATGCAATATAAAATTCAGAAATGTTAAACAATTCTTAACTGAACTGGTGGATTAATATAAAGTCAGTAACAGAGGAACTTGACGAAGTACTATGAAAAGGACGTCACTGGTATGACCAGTATGACTTTGTAGACTGTAGTGTTAGGGTATGTAAGAGCTTCACCTCAAGTACCACTTCAAACCAGAGTATTGGAGAGTCCTAGAATTCAGACTAGTGCATAGCTCACAGAAAGAAGTGATATTTATTTTCAACCATCTCCTTGATCAAGGCCAATCTTCCCATTTTGTACCCCAATCTTCTTCATTTGCTCTCCTTTACTCCAGGTAGATGTGCATGTTGCTTCTGTGGTAGTCTCGTTTTGAGCTTCAATTCAATTTGAGGAATTTTTGGGAGTCTGTGGACGAGACTAAATTCAAACTTAACGAATGATAACCTAAAGAATTCCAATCATACCTCTTAGAGTATCAAGTCTTTGTAACATTATGATCTACATTTCAGTGTAGATAATATTTTTCAAGTTTCTGTTAATGTCTACTTGGGGTCTCGGTTTATTATCAGTCACTTAGTCAATTATTGCATTTATTATCAAGAATTTCTCTGATATAGAAATATCTCAAAAGCTTAAAAACTGTAAAGATAGCAATTGTTGTAAAACCTGTGAACAGTCACAATGATTCTCATCATATCTTTGTGTTTAGTTAGGAATCAGTAGAAAGCAGTATGGCATATAAGGTGAACTGTCCATCTAAAAGATAGATGGCCTTTAGTATATAAGAAATTCTGAGAGTTTCCTTATGTTAGTTGACAAGATATCTTGGCAACCTTTTGATCTATTGATACTCCTATCTCAGGCCTAAAACATGATTTACTTTGTTTGTAATTTTGTTAATGATCAGTGTGTTTCTATGTTACATTGCACCTGGCATGTCATGTTTTGGATGGAGTAGGGCATTATTTTCTCTTTGAGTTCCTCTCCCTTGTTGAAGACAGGATGATGCATTGTAGTACCTACAGCAGTAGTTGCAAAAGAATTACTGACAATAGTCAAAACAAAAAACAACAGGCAAAATTATTGGAAATTATGATTTAATGTGGGAAGTATTGAAAAGCTCCTCAAAACAATAGTTTTGGGAAAACAATACATGTAGGTGTTTCCCCTGTTTCTTCCTGCCATTAAAACCTTTTGTGTATTTATATAGTTTTGTGATTATGGATATGTTAGTCTTGCGACAAGTCTCTGGACCCCCTCCCTATTTACTAGTTGATATCTATAGTGGAATGGGGTCACAAAGGCTTGAAGCAAGACTTTTTTGTTAGTCTTGGGTGTGACTGTATCTAGGATGGGTGTGACCCTTTAAAGAATATCTAGGATGTTTTGAAACTGAATCTCAATTGTAACAGAACATAGAAAAGTTTGAGCACCTGTATAAGACAGAGCTGGCTATGGTATGTAGGGTGAGGCCAAGTAGCTGAGATCTTCTGCCGAAAAGAAAATCTCATAAATATGTAGACGTTTGTCACCATTTCTCTTTAGAATTTGAATGAACTGCCAGACCATTTGACATTTTTATATAATTTAGAGTGTTGACTTCATGCCCATTTAATTCTACCTTGCTTGGTCCATTCCTTTTTGCCCAATTCTGTATTTTAAAACTTGATTTCCCTTCAGGGATCTTACAACTTTCAGATACATTACCATCACTCACCTTGTAACAATAATCTTCTGTTTGTTGCATCCAAATGAGAAAGTGTCATAATTGGCATGTTTTAAGTGCAAAATAGAGTGAAAAATAGAGGAATTCACATAGAATAGATTAAACAGGCATGTAGTTGACACGCTAAATTATACAGAAATGTCAGGAAAGAAGCGACTTTATTCAAATTTTAGAGAGATATTCAGTGATATAAGCCAAGCAGACGGCCATTTTCAAGAGGGTACCAATTTTCACATAACCAGGAACCACTTTGATGTTGCAATAGTAAATTCACCAGTTGTCTCCTTACCTTGATTATGTCAGGTTTTGCTATGTTTAAGTATTCACCTCAATGTTTGTAATTATCTTGTTATGTTGTATATTTAAGAAGTAGAGATAAGAAAGATGCTTTTGGCATGTTGTAGTATGTGGGAATAAAGTTGTTATGTTTTACTTTCAATTTACTAGGTGGTTTACATTGTACATGTACAATACACTAATTCAAAGTGCTTTGAATTCTCAGATTGCATTTTTACTGTTGCATTCTTCTTAAATATTATTCATGTTGGTATTTGGGGAATTGGAGTAGATGTCCTGAGAATGTATATTCAAGTAATGTAATGTGGGATCCCTAAATAAGAGCAGCAAGAGAAGTATGCAGAGAGACAAGGAGAGAGTTGTTCAGATAGGCAGTGGCATAGATGGATGGTGCCACATTCATCTCTACTGTGCATGGTATCATCTTTCAGACATCTGGAATTTCCCAATTGCTCATGCTTTTAGTCATAGTCATGTATACATACAGCATTCTCTCCCCTTTTCATAATCTAAATTACATGTACACCAACATTTCATTTGTAGAAATGGATAGTTTCGCAAGAGGAGTTCATTTCTATATATCTTAGGACAAACTACATGAAGTAGACTAGGCATGATCATTAACATATTTTAGAATATATAGGTGCTTAGACCCTGCTAGTGCATGAGGTAGATGTCACAGAAGGTGGAAAGGGTTAGCTGTTCAGAGGCTTCATTGGAGTGTGATGACATTAGATTAGATGTACGTCTAGCATTTGATCAACTTCATCTTTATTCTATGCTGAAATTTGCTTTCTACATTTTTGTGAAGAGGAGCAAGACTCATTTGTGCTGGAGAAATGCATCTTGATCTCCAAAGGTTTGATTGAGAGTAATTACATATGCCCATTTTCTTGTCGTGTAGTGTAGTGTAGTTATCAAGGGTAGTGAAATATGGTATAGTGTAATATAGTAAACAAATATAGTGTCTTATGGTATAGTAGGGGGTTTTCATCAGTTGTTTGTTTATCAATATATCTATATTAACATTCCTTGTAACCAGAAACTGGAAAATCAAGATAAGTTTAGATTTATATTGGAAGTTGTCATGCTCTGTTTTACTCCTGGTTGGTTTTTAATGTTATGTTCCAAAATGTTATGTTTTTAAATATAGTGGCATTGCATGTGATTTGGTGACCACCTGGCTTTTTGTCAGTGTTATTTGAATTTAAGTCAAAACATTGCCTTTATTTATTATAGCAATATTATGTGGTTACATGTATGATGGTATCCTTTAAATCTTCTTTATATAAATAGGACCAGAGTGGCCATTATTAGTACATACTCCTAGATATACAAAGATGCTACATTTATGTTTTATTCTGGTTGGTACTACATGAATATATTTTAGCTTATAAATCTCCATATTAGGTAGTTTTTCAAGTTTTGAACTTTCTACTTCACCTGATACCCTTAAATACAGTAGTCTCCTCATTGTATGTTAATTAAGGCAGATCCCTTAGAAAGGAATTTAATTACATCTTTTAGAGGTCCGGTCAGACCATTATGAATAAAATGCCACAAACTTGTATTTTAGAGTCTGATTGTCAGTTTCAGTGACATTTTAATGAACTGTCTGCTCTTTTGGAACAGTATACAGTACAGGTTTATCATAGAATGGTAATTGGTGCATATTTCTGATAATAAACTTGATAAACTGCTCAGAGATCCATGATACAATTGATGTAGAGACACCATCTGTTAATTATATTGTCACTAAATAAAATATGAATATATCATTCTGATATGTCACTAACATTGTGATATTATTCGTGTCATTTGTGGCATAGTAACAGTTACCTACCAAACACATAGCGAATAAAAATATGAGAGGCAGAAAGGCAAATGAGATGAATATATACCCAGCAAAGTCTGGAAATTTCCACCCTGTGGAGGCCAAAGCTTCAACCCTGCAGAATCAAAAAGCTTTCTCATTTTTGCCAATGCCGCTGCAAATGAAATAGAAATCCCAATGTAAATTCTTGCACTTTCTTTATGTTTGTTTTTGAATGAGCATCTCTAAGCTTGCAGCAAAGATGAAAGAAATACTAGGCGGAATGTTTTGTATGTTTTACTGAATGGTTGTAAAAATTCCACGATCCCATCTGTTCCGTACAAAGTATTTAGCCTGGTTAACTTAAACAATTGTAGATATTGTCAGAAATAATTTGTT